CATCGCCATTCACCCAGACACCAAACCTACCCCTCACATCTGCCCCATTTCTCTGCTTACTCACCGGCAAAGGGGGCCCGGGGCATCAACTGATGTCGCTGCAATGTTTCTGACCGTTAGGTTCTAGAGACCGAGGCCCGAAGGTGGCAAGATTTTCGGCATTCACTAGACATTTGGGTCGAGTTCAGTCGGTGTCTGAAGAAAAATTCTAGCACTGATAGTTTTCCGTGGTTCTTCTGATCAAAACCAGGCGAATGCCGGAGCAATACTTTTGACCTTTCCTCGCCATTTACTTGCACACACACACACACACACACACACACACACACACACACACACACACATGCACTACACCATCACACATGGCAGGAAACCAGCCTAGAGCTCATGGCGGCTGGGGCGGTGCCTCACTGAAGGGAGATACCATGTTGGGGAATACCCTGTTAGTGGAAGTAGTTTGCCGTCGAATTTCCAGCAAACGGCGGACGATAATCACCACATCTCATAACCAAAATACACTACATTTACGGTATTGATGACCTTGAAACGCTCGTAATCACTAATCAATGAATTAAACAATCAATCAATTCCTATGTATCCTGCACACAATCATCCCTACCCTTTCAAATCATCCTTACCCATTCCATCCCTCTTCTGCCACTAACTACTTCTCACCTATTCCATCTACCCTTAAAATCAAGTCAATCCATCGACTTACACACCCATTCACTAGTCCAACTCTACCATAAACCAGGAACCATAACACACCGCTCCCGCTCCAGGTTTTGCTATTTCCGAAGTGCAGACACCCATTTATGAGCAATGGCGGAGGCTAGACCGCAGCGTATGCAGAGGGGAAAAGGGCGTTGGGTGCCAAAGGATGATGAGGGGTTGTGAAGCAATCAAAATGAATAATATAACAAAATTATAAAAGGAAATGATAATTAATATATTGACTTAAAATATTGACGTCCAAAATTATGGGAAAATATATTGTAAGTGCATAATGTGTGCATGAACACGGTTATCGCTATTCACATTTTCCGTTCTGGGCTTACACGTTCTTCCCCTTATTGCATTTAATATGTAATATAAAAAAATGGAATATAATGTTTTGAGTGGTTATAGACATTTACTCGAGTCATTGTTCATTTCAAATGTTTATATACGTACATTTTGGCTATTTTTTATAGACCGAAAGATCAGTTTTTTAATCATGTATGTGAGTATTCAAAAAGCTTACCTTGAAAATAATATGAAATCTTTTTAAATTAATACAATTATTTTACTTTTTCGTATCTTCTAGAAGAAAGTTATATAAAGCTGCAGGAAAAAGTGCCGATGTGCTGTTGTAGAACCACAAGTTTCATCTGCAAAACTCATCAGAAAGACGGATCGGGGCAAAGAGCTATCGGTAGCAGTCGGAGCAGAAGGTGGAAACCAACTTAGCGATGACTGTGTAACGCCACAAACGGTTGAAGCAAAGGTTTGGACGACAGTATCACGCAAGACATCATTGCCAACTGCGTACATACATCCTAGGGAAGGAAGGAAGGAAGCAAGCAAGCAGCTCAAGCACTAATAACCCAGTGATATTCATAAGTGAATGTGAAGATCTGTATTTTATTCTCTAAAATGGGAAACAAATGTAAAGTGTTTTCTTAGACATAAAGGTTTGAATCGTCTTAAAAATGTAATCCAAAAAATTATTGAACACTTAATCATGCAGGGTAGTATGACAAATACAATAACGAGTTTCGTTCAGCAGTTTTTTATGCTTTGAAAATAAACTTCACTAGTCACGCAGTATTTGGATGCTCTTATTTTTACCGTAGGATTTAACGCATCGAAATATGATTAGCAAAATGACCTAATATTTTAGTGTTTCGTTTAATTATCTTCAATGATGCAAATAATAAATCAACATTGTCACCTCGACAAATTTAAAGTGTTGTTTCGCTCCGCTTATCGCAGTCGTTTACGCGCTGTAGTGGCTACTTCTGTCCCGGCACGGTTTCCTAACATTGAAACCGGGTGAGATGGCTCAGGACATAAACTAATATCACTGCAGTCTCTGGCCGGGAGATCCTAGTTTGGAGACTAGCTTGTCAGCTACGTCAAATTCAGTCGCTATCTTGAAATTCAGTCGCTATATCAGAAGAATATTTCAGAAGGAGAATTCTAGCGACCAGCTCCTCTGATCAGTAGTTTTCCGGGCTTTCTCCGGTCAACACCGGGCAAATGCCCAAGCACTACCCTAACAAACGGGCCACGAACAGCGCGCGATGTTTCCTACCTATTCCTTGTCCTGTCCTCGCCCATTGCACACTAACACTTATACGTACTACACTACCACACATGGCGAGAGACTGGTCGGGAGCTTGTCCCGGCTGGGGCGGTGCCCCGCTGGTGGGAGACACCGGATTCGGGAAAATCACGCTTGCCGATGGTATGTCGGCGCCGGATCTCGCCATCCAGCGGGAGACGACCACCGCCACATCCCAAGGAAAATGCTTCCTCCAGCACTACACTTACTCGACTAATGAGAGTAGTTGACACTCCCGGAATCACTAACAATCAATCAATCAATCAATCAATTCGACAATTGAACTGTTCGCCTAGTATATGAGTGAAACCAGTACTATTAATGGTTTTGTGTTATTGCTCCAATTTAAGTGGTGAACAATGATTTTTTTCTAGCACAACTTTGGAAAACCACGACCAATCCCAGAAATAATGCGACTAAGCCACGGCGACAACACAATGGAGGACGCCCGAAGTCAAGATCACGTTCAACTCTACCACGACCACGGATACCAAAAGCAGACGCGACCCAGTAAAGATTAACTCGGTACCTCATCAAAAAGATCTAACATATGCAGTAAGTAATTGCATTATATTTGATTGTTCTGTTCAACTATCAAGAGTCCGATGTTCCCGTCAGAAACGGTAAATATCTCACGCATTTACTGTACCACATTGACAATCATCGTGCATAAAATTAAGGAAGTAGTAACTGGGAAACTTTTACACTGATTTTAAAGGAAACAAAATAAAAATGAAATTAGGAACTCTAAAATGTTTTAAAACTAACAGCTACCTTAGAACATGTAAAACTCAATTTTTTACGTACTCAGATCCCTCTACAAAACATATTTCTAGAGATTAAGAACTCGTACGTGTCCATACTAAATATGATTAATATTCAAATTGTGAAGACGAAATTAAACCTGAACATATTGAAAAATATACATGAGTAGTGAGAGTCCCACGGCTTGGTGGTACGGACAAGAAAAGAATTCTTGTAGTAGCTGTAGGGTTTTCAAATCTATAAAATAGTAATAAAATCTTTTAAGAAATACTTCTGCAACTCGGATGTAAAATTTGAAACGAAAAAAAACATAAGCAACCGATTCAAGTTCAAGTGGTCAATACTTAAGTCGTAGCACGGGTAATTGGCGAAAAATTTTAAAATGTACTGAGTGTGCTAGAAATCATCTAACCGCTGATTGTAAACCACTGTCTGTTATCCATTTGTGGATAAATTGTAAATCCTCTAACAAACCTCATTATCACAGAGCGGACACTCAAACAAGCTCCAATGATTGGTATAATAAAGAATTTTCAAAGAAAGGCAGAAACTCCCAAGGATGAATCAGTCTCCTCAACCAAGCCCAATTGCTTCATCACAAATTCATGGTCCATTACTTCCAAAAACAAATGAAATACTAAATTGTAGTTGCACGGTGTTAACAACAATCCTTGCACATAAAAACCTCAGAACGCTATAATATCCAAATATTCAAAGCCACAGCACTGTTTCACCTGAATCATCACTGTTTCAACTCAATCATATAATTTTAAAATGATATTTAATGTATTATATGCCATTTGGATTGTATAATTCTAAATAACCTGTAACCAGTATTGTACTTCAGCTTCTGGGTCAATGACCCCCATCTCGATCTGGTTGTCGTCCAGTTTCCCTGATCCTCAAGCAAATGCTGAGATGGCTCCTTGTTTTGCTTCTGAACATAAATGTAACTTCAAATTAACAAATGTTTTTAGGGGAAGGGGTTAGAACACTTCAGTTGGACTAGCCTCTGTGAGGCATGCAAACTCGTTTTGTCGTAACAAATTTCACATGAAGTTCTACGGAAGGAATCGAACCCAGAAACTCGGTAGTGAACAGTCAGCGACGTCGCCACTGACCCACAAGAGCATTTTTCTAACAAAATTACAATAAAAATTACTAATTTCAAAAAATCATCGAACGGTATATATCAATGTTCATAGTAAGGCTTAAAAATGTATCCATACTATCTTTAAACTCCTATACGTTGAAACGGAATTAAATCATAAAACATATATATTCAGAAAATCTCTTCCAGAGCACACATTAAAAGCTTACAAAAATTTAACTGCAACACACGCTGCACAAAACAATTCGTTTGAAAAAGGTACTAAGTAAAAAGCCAAATATATGTATCCAAAACCCCAAATATTAATTACTACTATTCTCTCAAAGAAAAAGAAGTACTTGAAGATTCTACCTTCTCAACAGATCAGGAAACCACAGCACATGTAAATTCCTTCATCGTGTCCCTGAATGACCATGTTCCTTCTCCAATAAAATATATTTCTATTTTCTGCAAACAATTATTCCAAAAAAATATATTTCCACTTCAGAGATTTACTGAATTAACTTTTCTACGCAACAGGGGGCGCCAGGGGGGGCGATGGAAGAACCCCCTATTACGGTAAAATACTTAAGAAAAGCCGTAACATTTCTTAACAACATACTCAATTCAATTTTTCGTACAGGGTACTATCCCCGTACGTAGAAACATTCTATTGTTGTACCCATACAAAACAAAGCAAACCCCCTTTCAAACTCCTATTGTACTAACTCGCTTATACTCATAATATCGAACATATTAGAGAAAGACATCTTAACAAGATTAAATTAATTGGTAACAAATACAAAATTAGTACCACACCATCCATTTTGATTCACTGAAAACCATACTCATACTCATCACTGCTTAGATTAAGTGACGTAGATGAGATAAAAACAATAACATGAATAGCATACGTTTAAAAGAGAACGTTTTAATTAAAAACCATAAAGAGACGGACAAAAATTAAAAAAGAAAAAAAAAGTGTTTAGGAAGGGAAGGGAGAAAGAAGTAAAAGATACTAACCATTAGATTATTGCAGGTTAATCAACTATTTCATTTTGGAGATGAACAATACAGCCACAATGAACGAATGCGTACTCAGGAATCGCAGTGTTCATTCCAGCAACATGTTTGAGCCTCCGCGTACGGCGACAGAGCCCGAGGGCCCTCCGACACCTCTTACCGGAGGCAGTCACGTGGAAGTCGCTAATTAAAGAAGTTGACGGCAAGCTTGGCCTTTATGTAAAATTCTGAAGCAGGGAAACAGTAAATTAGCAAGTGCCTCCGTATAACGTAACGATACTTAAAACTTTTCCCCAGTACCGTCCTTGAAACTTCCTTGTTCAGCCACTGAACGCCAAGGAAGTTTGCTCATTTCGAGATTAGCGACAGAAGTACGCGGCGGAGGTGACGGCACAGTGCTCCGAGTAAGAGGACTGTTCGTTATGTCTAAAGCAGACAGAACTAGAGATAACAGGATTTTAGTACTACTACCTGTTTAACCTCTTACCTCTTTCGAGGCTTCGAGGAACCTCTACGTATGTGGCTGTATCTTCGTCTTTCCATCCTTTGCGATGGTATAGACGGTTCTGTCCGCCGGCTAAGGTTGCCTACTCGTTCACGTGTGGCCACCATTGCACTTTACCGTGATTCCTCTATTCTATCACAGACGTGGCCTATGGGCACCTATATTCGACTCTACTTTCATCCACTAGCGTAGCCCGTAGGCCTCAACATTTTTTTCCTAGTTTTTTTCCAGCCAACAGCCGGTTTCTCGTTACGTCCGGATGGGACGCATATTCTACCATACATTAGCCACTAACACACTTGCGAGCAGCTCTGATCTGGAGTCAGCAGAATGCGAGGCCCTCCGTGACAACACTTCCATGCGCGAGAAAGGATAAAAAACAATGCCCAAGACGGAACTCAAAACCGCGACCCTTCGGACCAAAACGCTGAGACAGTACATGCTCTTAGCCACATTGGCCACCCACATGCTTGTTATTATATTGCCGGATGAAGGAACCATGGAATGTGGTCAAACATTTCTCCTAAAGTGTGGTCAAGCATTTGATTTCAGTACAGAATATTATGGAAAATTGATCTCTCTCTCCCTCTTCCCATAAGACCCCTTCTTCTCGTGTAGAAATGGTGGTGCCTCCAAGAAGGTTCTTTGAGTTCATTCTGCTAGTCAGTCATATTTCAGAATTTTTTTTTAATTCCACTGAAGTATTGAGGTTCACAGTGCCGCCAGTGATAGCTCAGGACAACAACTGTTCTCACTGCAATGTCTTTTAGAACTCTACGGTGCTAATACACAGCAGACGACTAAGAGCGATTTGAGTTTTAGAATCCAAGTTCTTACTAAATTTACAATTTAATCCGAATTACAATGTGTGGTATCAGATCACACCTGGAACGTCACTGTCACCTTAAACAAGAGACGGATAAAACACAATGTCGTGAGAAAGTATCGCAAACGCATAGGACAAGATTCCTCTGGCATGGCAACGATTGATCACTGCACTTGTGTCTTACATCCCCATTCACTTGTCCACTGGGCTGTCACAAATCAGCAGAGACATTGAGCATAAAATTTAGTTTCGCTTTTATTTCCTAGTAAAAACCCAGATTCGCTGCATCATAGCCCGTACGATGCGGACGTGCTCTGTACCCGAGGAGAAGTTCGTCATAAGCAGCATCACGAATTATTTGAAGGTTGATTGTTGTCTTAAATGCGAATATAAACGAATATCAATTGAATCCCAGTAAAAGTACTTTTTTATTCTGCAAAATTACTTATTCTTTATAGTTTTTTACGGGAAATATCGTAATCAAGATACATGTTTTATTATATATGTGATTCTGCATTAAAAATTAGCATTCGTTTGCTTTTAGCAATTATTTATTCATTGATTATATATTATCATATGATTATGTACTATGTATGCTTATGTATATAAGGGGCACGTTTTGAAACAAAATTGACACAAAAGTAACTAAATATTTATTATTAGTTAAATAATTTTGGATAATTTGGAAACTAAATGATTTAGCATTATAATGTGAATCATAACCAATTTTACTAATGCTCGAGAGACAGAAGAGTATACAAATAAAATAAATGAATGTATAAGAAATGGAGGAAAGGGCGTTCCCGATCTCCTAGCACCAATATCAATCAAGCTGTATATATACCTGCAAGCGTGGACAACACGAAGGCATGGTCGCATTTTGTCTTTCTGTGGGAGGCGAGGTTGTGATAAAAATTTAAATGGAATAGGAATATAATACAAGTCAAGATTTTGGATGTTTTTCATTGATGCCGACAGGCTTTGTTTGCTCAGAACGAATCCCATCCTACTTTTGAGTGAGGCCCCCGATTCTTTTCGAGGACAGGGCTTTTTTACATACCTTCTCAGTGTTGGCAAGTACACGAGTGTGATGATCGAAAAACATCTCCGTTTTCACTGATTCCGTTTCAAGATTTAAAAAGGAGTCCACAATATTATTTCAAAAAGATATCGTCGCGATTAAAACGAATTCCTAGCCATCATACTTGATGTTTTGATTGATTTATAATTCAGAGCGCAATAAGAATCACAGTTTCTATCCTAAGCGTCGGAACTTAATGTCATTATTCAAATTTTAAGGAAACAAATTTTTTTCGGTTCACTACACTTTTCACCTTCACCTTCAATTGAGAAGTTAAAATATTTGTGATGTATTTAATTTGTAAAATTATAAATGGAAATTAACATCGCAAGAATGTAAGGCAATGACGGATAAGTGACTTCTCCAAAACATTGGCATCGACCAGGAATTCATTGATGAACCACTACCCAGAGACATTTGCGAAGGTCATTAGTCCCGTAAGTGCAGAGCGTGCTCCTCACGAGGTGGCTGGCGCTGGGAGAGGTGGCTCAGTGCATCATCTGATGTCACTGCAGTGTCTCTGACCCGGAGGTTCTGGTTCGAGACCCGACAGTGCCAATATTTTCGACATTAGCTTGTCAGCTAGATTGAATTCAGTCTGTTTAGAGGAGAATTCAAGAGACTGACTGCTCTGATCGGTAGATTTC